TGGGTCGTTGGCGCTTGCGGCGGCGGAGGCCGGACACCGCGGCGCAAATCGTCAAGTATCAAGATGTCAAGCACAAGTGGGGTCTCTTGCTCTGTCTCTGGCCCCACAAAGGCGTGCAAAGAGCGGGCGGCAGTGTCCACTGCCTCTTTGCAACGCGCCCCGAGGCCAAAGCGGTCGTTGGCTTGAGTCAAACCGGCACCGACTGCTTCATCGTGTACCACACTGACGCCAAGACGACCCACTGCGTGCGCGTGAGCCTCTTGCCAAGCATCGATCTGCACCGCCTTCTTAAAGAAATCAAAACAAATAAGGACGCGGCCGTTGGGCACGTGGATCTGGGCGCGCCGACGCCCAGCGTCTACACTGGGGCGAATGCGTCGCCGTGGGTGATGTAAAAGACACTGTCTCTCTCGATTGTTCCAATTAATTGGCGTTAATATGTTGGCGCTGGTTTGCCGAGCGCTTGGTGCGAGCAGCCGTCCCAAGCTTCTTGCCACAGAATATGTCATTTCGCGCGCCCACGATGATTCGAATGGCCGTAGTTCTCTGGCTGGCTTTGCTTGGCGCGGACCAAGAGTACATATATTGGTACGCTTGTGCAAGCGTAGGCAAAGCCACGGCTGGGTGGTCTCATGCCTCGTCGTCGCTTGTCCACGCGTCACGTCATGGACAGACTCGAGATTCGAGTCGTCGATGAAGAGGACCACATTGCTGTCGCGATGGACGACGAATGGACGCGACGGTTGTGCAGCGAAAGGACAGAGACGACAATTCCCGCGGCACCCATCGCGGCATCGTGGCTGTAGTCACCTATTTGTACCTGTCCGACCGGACGTTCCGACGTCTCCGACTAGAAATCAAAATAAATTAACTTAAAATGGACGATATCGACCAGAAAAAGTGGTCTCCGTCGGACGCCTCAACCGACAAACCGTCTTCTCGCGAGAACACTCGACACTCGGGCCTCGATTTTTCTGATATCGGAACCACCGAAGACGGTGGTACAACGTCGTCGAATCTTTGCACGGTGCGTTGTTGCATCGCCGCGGCCGTGGGACTTAAACAAAATAAAAATTACAGTGCTAAACAAACTAACATTTTGCTCGACATGGCTAGTATCCGACTGACACGAATCGACGCATGCCCAGATTGTGGCCGTCTCTGCTGTCGCCACAGCGTGCCACGCGTCACCCGTCGATCGTGGGCGCCGAGAAGCAGAGGCGTGGAGCGGCACCGGCTGCTTCGTCACACCTCTGATTGGATGACGTAGTCGCTCTTGGCTCCCGTAATCGGACGGCCACCGAATGACGTATACGCCGCCTGTCTACTCAACGTCGCCAATCTGACGCTTGCATGGCCACGGGCGCGGTTGCAGCCAATGGGATGCGCGTGTGGCGCTGATGCACTGGCGTCATCATTGCACTTGGGCACTTGCAGTTGGCTCCGCCGCCATCCGTGGAAACGCGATGGGACTTTTGCTTTTGCCGTCTCTTGCTCAGTTCTTAGAGTGCTAGCATGACCATTCCCCGCGTCATGTGGAACATGCTCTCGGGCGTCGTCCGGCGCCGCGTCAACAAGCCCGCGCCCGGCTGCCTCATGGACCGGCCGTCGATCTGGAAGACGCGGATCGGCTTCATCGACACGGACCTCAACGTGCATCTCAACAATGCGTCGTACCTGACGCAGATGGAGCTCGCGATCTGGTATGCTGTCGCGTACGTACCAGAATGACAATTTAGAAAGTGCAATCTGACCATGCGTCAACTAGACACACGGGTATTCTTGACCGCGTGCTCGCCAAGCGCTGGTACTTCCTCATCGGGTCCCAAGCCATTCGGTACCGCCACCAGATCCCGCCGCTGCGCCCGATCGAAGTCCACACGCAGACCATCTACTGGGACGATACGTGGGTGTACCTGCAGGCGCGCTTCGTGTGCCCCGGCACGGGCAAGCTTTACGCCGAGGGCCTGAGCCGCATCACACTCCGCCATGGCCGCGACACGGTCCACCCGACCAACATGTTTGACGTTGTGTACCAAGTCGAGGTACGCGCTTCTAGCGACTCGATAGGACGATATGTAAATGCGTTGGAATATGTAGACGGGCGAGAAGCAGTACGTGCAGCCCGAGATGCCCGACGTCATCCGCGACTACCTTGCGTGGGACGCATCGTCGGCCGTGAGCATGAAGGAGTATGCGCTCGAACCGACGCCGCGCCTTCCGCTCACGAGCTCGTTCAACTTGCCGTGGGAGAAGCTCTAAGTGCATCTTCATTTTTGTACGAATGACTATACGCCTATTCTATGACTCGCTTTATCGGCATACGCAACGCTTTGCGCCGTCCAAAAGCTCGTACAGGCTTGACCAAGAGGGCATACTCGAGCTGTGTGACCAGTGCACTGCGGCGAGCAAACTGACCGCCATTGACGACGAGGCCGACCGCTACGGGCGACGCCAATGCTCCAGGCCTTTGTCAAGACCTGTCTTGGGATCCCTTTCGGGCAACAGATCATTCCGCACTAAGATCTGGACGGCTAAGATCCTGATTTCGCCGAAGACTTGTTGTCAACCGGCATGTGAGCACTTTAACCGGTTCGATACAGCTAGAGGCACTCACCGCGAAGGTACCTCCGCAGCGAGCAACGTCGCAGTTTGTACATGCAAGGCAGTGCGAGCAACTGGGCCTCGTCGCCATCTTGTCGTCGTTTTGCGCCGCAATAAGATCGCACTGGCGTGTGACACGCATCCGGTTGCTTCTCACGTATCCGGTATACATCGCGTTCGAGTGGTTTTAAACATTTTTGTGTTTAAAACAGATATGTCGACGCAAACGTGGTGCGATTTGCGATCTTCTGCCCACGCGGACCACCCACGGCCATGACGATCCCACGCATCCTCTGGAACATGGGCGCGGGCCTGCTCCGGCGCCGCTTCTCGCCGCCCACGCCCGGCCTCCTGCTTATCGACCGGCCGTCGATCTGGAAGACGCGCATTGGTGCTATCGACACGGACCTCAACCTGCATCTCAACAACGCGTCGTACCTGACGCAAATGGAGTCGGCCACGTGGTTCGCCGTCGGGTACAGCGTTTTGCCTTGCTTTGCACGATTGTACGGTCTACTAGGGCGTCTGGTATCCTCGTGGAGATCCTCCGGCAGCGCTGGCTCTTCCTCGTGGTCTCACAGGCCATTCGGTACCGCCACCCGATCCCGCCGCTGCGTCCCTTCCATATCCACTCGACTATTGTCTACTGGGACGCTGACTGGCTCTACTTGCAACACCGCTTCGTGTGCCCGGCGACGGGTACTCTCTACGCGCAGTCGATCGTGCGGGTCATGATCCGCCTCGGCAAGGCAACCGTGTCGCCGACGACCATGTATCGCACCGTGACCAAAGACGAGGTAGCTTCGTTTGTGGACAACTTGTCTATTGGGTATGTTTGTAGTCGCGCGCCTTTACGCCGCCGGCCATGCCCGACGAAGTGCGCGATTTTCTGGCGTGGGAGCGCTCGTGCGCGCACGGCATGCAGCAGTTTGCTGCACCGTCGCGTGCAACGACGACGCCGACGTCTTTCAACTGGCCCTGGACAACCGACTAGGTAGTCTAGTCCTTTACCGTGGTATTTGCAACCAGTAGGGGTTGTGTCGTCATGTTGTTCATAATCAATACGGCGTGGGCTGTCGAGGATCCACTGCTACCTCGTTGCCCTTCCGTGTTAGTGCAAGCCACTTGAAGAAACAATGTGTCGAGAGTCAGCATCGCCCTATACATATTTCCCGTCTCCATGTCATCGCGCTTGGTGTGTTTAGAGGCTAGTAGGGATGTACTAGTTCGCTTGACCGTCCATCATAAAGAGCAATCGAAGACGCAGAAAAGTTGCATTTATGAGCAACACGCTTCGCTAACTTCCTCGTGCTTGGGCTTGGGCACGATCTTGAACGGCCGGCCTTTGACCTTGGAGCCATTCGCGTTCATGTCTTTGGAGCGTTCGTAGATGCGCAACACGAGCGCTTCGATCGCGTGCGTGACGCTCGTGACGGTATCGGTTTTTTCGTAGCCAATCGCATCGCTTTGCTGTTGAAACATTTCATGGACCGTGGCCGCTGAGTCGTGGACATTAGTGTCCTGTAGTTTATAGACAAAACCAACCTTTGCGTTCGTTGAGCTCAAAGAGCTCACAGTCGTTGGTCATGGCCGACGACCGCGCAAACATGAGCGCATTTGCGACGCGGTAGGCGTGCACGTCCGCAGGCGGGGCATCGTGGAGCCAGCCGAGGCCCGTCGGCGGGTCCTTGTAAACCTAATATGCGCAATCGTACTCCAGTTGCGGAGGTATTCAAGTCGGTACCACATCCAGCAGCAGCTTGTCGACGTCGGCCTCTTGCACATACGACGGCGGCCGTGGCTCGCCGTTCTTGAGCAAGTCCGACTTGTTCTCCATGAGCATGACGGCCCCGAGGAGGTCCGGGTCGGCGTTTTGCTTGAGGGCACGTAGCCAGCACAGCGTTGAGTGGGAGACACCAGGAGAGACCTCTCGGAACGACTGTTTGTTGGTCACATCGTAGACCATAATGGCGCCTACGCTCAACATGAGATCGGCGCCAACTCACTGCCGCAAGGTGGACCGTTGACGCGGCGGTAGTGGGACGCCGAGATTGCTTGGTACCGCTCTTGGCCGGCCGTGTCCCAGAGATGCGCGGTGATGTACTGATGCGCCTGGCCAGGCTTCCAGTCCGGTCGCTTGACCTTGACTAGTCAGAAAGGCTTTAGACAGATGGATATGCAAAGAAGAGCGCACCAGTGGCAAACTCGGGGTTGGTGGTCATGGGACTCATGTCGTTGAACTGGGCGCCGCGCGCGCCGACACCAATGAGATTGGTCTTTCCGACGGCGCCGGACCCGATCATGATGATCTTGTAGACGGTCTCGCTGGAGGTCTCGGTGCTCACCTCCATGGCTGCAATGGCGTAGGATCCGCGACTGAGCAGCTCACGAGAAGGCGAAAGGCTGCGACCGTTGGCTATCTATAGCCCGCGTCGCTTCGAATCATGAAACCACCCACCCGCCATTGCGTCACAGCGTGCCACGTCATGGCCCTAACCTCGTGCTTTCTACGCGCGACAGTAGAAAACCTACAAATCTACTAAACCAGTAAATCTCTAGCGCAAATCAAGCACAACACATTGGGAAGCATAGACTGTCCTCCGTCGAGAAACGACCTGCTTCATCACCATGCGCTAGAGCTATACGAAAAGACGGTGGGCCTTAGGAGAACCGTTGATGATAATTCGAGAACGTCCTGCAACACGAGAACTTGACGTGGCGAAGGACTTGACCCGTGAAAAGGTACGTCCTGGGCATACCATCGCGCCTCTATCATCCATACGACATACGTCTCGCGCAATGTACAGTGGCGCACAAACTGCAGCCTTGAACGCTACCTCGTACGACGGATCGCCTCCACAGCCAAGGCGTGCGTGTCCACACGCCTTTTCAGTCCTTGCGCAGCTCACCGCAAATCGCCAAAATTGTCTTTTTAAAGGTTAGTAGATGCCAACGCGGCCGAGGAGTTCGCGGTCGACTTCGAAGCAGACGACGCCGACAAAGTACCCACTCGGATGTACGCCGCCAAACACATGCACGCTCGAGTTGTCAATGTACGTTTCCATGCGGACGTCGTTCAGGTGCATGCGCATGGCAGCTTTGAGCGGCTGCACAAACTGGCGGCACATGTTGTACGCGCGTGGGTCGCGCACGAGGCCTTCGTCGACGCAGTAGTTGCACACAAAGTCGCCGTTCCCGATCGGTTCGTACGACTCCCAGTGCTCGTCGTCGCCAAAGAGCCCGGCGCACGCAATCCCAAGGCGCCAGGTTGGGCCACCGCTCGCAGTGTCGAGCGGCTCTTCGTCGGGCAGCAGCCAGCGGTACATGACTTCGCGTGGCGGCCACACGTCATTGTCTTGCTGCGCGCAAGCATGGCATCCCTCGTCGTTCGTAATGAGGTCCCAATCGATGCACGCGCAGTCGCTAAAGATGCAGTCGGTCGGGTGCAGCGCCAGGCCAAAGGGACTCGAGGACGCCGGTGACAGCGGACGGTACGGCAATAGCAGACGATGCAGGTCGGTCGCTGACCATGGCGCGTGCAGTAGTGATGGCGCGTGCAGCAAAATCGGAAACGCACCTTGCACCACGAGCGATTCGTCGTCGAAGGTGGCTTCTAAGTCGGCGCAGAGCTGCTGAAAGAGCGCGTGCACGGCCAATGCGTCGGCGAGCGGCTGCCAGTTGCTGCCGACAGACGCTTCTGCATGCTCGGCAAGTCGCTGGGAGGTCATACTGGATGGCCCGTCGCTATCGAGCGCCTCTGCATCGTCGCTGTCGCGGGACCTGTCGTTGTCGTCCAAGGTGGTATACCGCCGAGACGCGTCGACCGAGTCGTCGCTATCGTAGGCATCGCCAAGGCTGGACGTCGAGTCGACCCAGTCGATTTCAAACGTCTCGGTCTCGGGGTTGAAGACCCATCCGCCGCGGTCCGCGTTGAAGAGATGGCCTGTGCCACTGAGCCGGCCAAGCAGTCCATGGAAGATAGGGTTCTGCGAGTGCTGGAAGAACGAGTATAGGCGCCTTTGGTGGCGATGGCGCACCCGCCGCTTCGGGCGGTGGATGGCAGAGTGCGCGGTCGGCGGGCGAAGGCGAAAGATGGGCTGCCGGTCAAACACATGTGGGTACTGCCGCCGGACGCGAACGCGGAGGACAGCCGAGACCCTGCGCTGGAGGTACGTGCACGTGAGGCCAAGCGCCTCGAGATCTCTCGCGAAGACGAAGTCCATGAGGTGCGCCGAGACGAAGTCGTCGCCGAGCACAACCGCGATCGAGGCCATCCTGGCCTTTCTGCCAGTCGACATTGCTGTTTCCAGGGGCTAAATAAACGCAACCTCTCGTCGGCTGCCGACTGCAAGCAACAACCCCGAGCGAGCAACGTCGTTTCAAAGCAGTACAACAAGTCCAATCTCAATCATGTATCAGCTGAAGAAGTCTGTGTGCGGCTGTGTGGCTGTGTGGCATGCATTTGATCATCGAGACAACAGCGGGGTGGGTGGGTCTAGTCTATTGTAAAGGGTCAGATGATGGCTGAAACTGCATTTGGTGAATTCGCTGGGAGGAGGTGGATCTATCATCACCTTGCCATGCACGTGGAAGTGAAACTCAAATTCTGAGAATCGAAACCCAACTGAGTTACACTGTGAGGATCGTCCTTTGTCCTTTGTTGCTGCTGCCTCTCGTAGAGTGCGGTGCGGGACCGTGTGTGTGAGAAGGCACGTTGGCGCAAACGACTGATCCATTCTGCATGTGATTGGTGGATATCTGATCCATTTGCGTCATTTTTTAGCGATCCAGTGCATCGATTGGCCAAAAACCAGTTTGCGCACGTTTGATTGGTGCAAATCCAATGGGAGACTTGCGATTGGCCACAATTGCGACAGCTGGAGATCCTCTACACGTCGCCGATCTTGTGGCAACTTCAACCCACGTCTTGTTGAAGAAGACGACGACGTTCTCGATGCCAGAGCTCTGGCATCAGATCTGGATTTACCTCACGCACAGTATGCAACGCCTCCAGCGCAGCCCGCCGCAGTACCCCATCTCGCCGTCCGACTCGGAGCCGAGCCACTCGCCACTGCTGCGCAGCATGTACCCGACGAGCTACGAGCTTCTCTCGCCGCTCTCGCTCAGCGAGCCGCAACCGCGGTACCGCAAGCGAAGCTTCCACGACCTCGACGACGACATCTCGCAGGACCGTCGATCCGCCGACCTCGCCGCTCGACTTGCACTCCTCCTCCACGCCCGCCGGTGCTTTCGAGACGACTGCCTCGTGCCCAACTGCGCGACGGCTAAAGGCGTGCTCGAGCACTGCCAAGAATGCGGCGTCGGCCTCGGCAAGTGCCACAGCTCGTGCAACCAGGCCAAAGTCCTACTAAAGCACTATCGCGTCTGCAAGTCGAATGCACTACCGTGCCAGCTCTGCGCGACGCTGCGAAAGGACCACGACTGGGCCATTGTCGAGTACTAGTTGTTGTTTAATTTAGAGTATATAAGAGCATCCCCAGCAGTCGTTTCCATTTTATTGCTAACGGGTGGCTTTGGAAACGACCAGTTGGCAATGGAAACGGAGCTCCCCAACAGCGTTGCCAAACGTTGCCAATCAACAGCTGACAGATCAACATTCCGACGATAGCGAGGCGCTCCACTGGTTCCAAGGTGACGCCGTCGACGCCAGCACCGACTAGGCCCTACTCGCGGCCACGCTTAGCGAGAGTCATCAAGGCAGTTCATGACTGTGCGACGGAGCTAACCGCATGTCAGCGGGCGCAGCGACGCCTTGTGTGCAGATATGATTTGCCCAGATCGCTCAATGCGAGTGCCATCAGAGAGGTTCCTGCTACATCTGGGGTCTCTGTGTTGCAGGCATGGCTGTCCTCAACTGTAGAAAACTCCGAGCTGAGTTCTGACGGCGTTTTCATGCCTTGAATTCGCCCATTGCCCGTCGCATGGGCCTTAAAAACGATTGGAAATGCTGGCCGATGTTTTTAAAGTCGACCGCGATAAAAACGACCAGCGAATTTTTACAAATTTTTAGAAATAAAAACGCCTCTTGGGGAGGTCCGTTTTTAAAAATTGCTATATTTACGTATAAAAACGACTGCTGGGGATGCTCTAATATGATCGCCGTTTTGCAACCGCGCGAACGTGAGACGCACTGCGTCATTCCAGTCAAGCGAAGCTGAGGCGCGCGAACTTGTGCGATGTTGCACTTTCTGGATCTAAAAAAATTGGTTTCGCCGTCCCTTCATGTCGGCTTGCCACGTAACCGGCATTGCTTCGCGCATGGTTACTCGTTGTTGCAGTGCCCAAACCACGAGCGCGCAAGCATGTCGACCACGTCGTCCATAAGCAGTACGAAGCCTCTACCATGCACACAGGCTCACGACCACGCTAGTCGACGACTACATTGCCGACGTCACGTACTGCTACCCGACGGCAACGACCGCCAAAGCATCGACAGGTGCCTCGTGCGGTCTCGTGTCGTCTCTTACCGTGTGCGCACCAAGCCCGTCTACGGTGCACCTGGACCCTTTCCACACGTTAAATCAGCTCAGCCCTGTAGCTCTCTGCAACGTGGTCCGTCAACGTTGTCAATACGTCTCGTCACTCGGTCCTCTCAGCCGTGCTGGTGGTTTGCACACCGTCAACGCCGTGCGCGTTGGCTACGTCGACTACCGGGACCGTGGCCTTTCTTCCTTTTAAGCCGCTTCCGCCGGCGCCCTTTAGCATATCACAATCGGTCACGGGGCTTGCCCCCAATGCGACGTACGCCGTGTACGTGCTCTCGTCCGACGCCTCGTCCGACTATATCGTGTATCATTCCCACCAAGTTCCGCGTCGATGTCATAGTATTCCCTCTCAAGCGGCGTATAGATGCCAGCGGCTCTCGAGAGCGAGCCGATCGCACAGGCGTCGACGGCACCTCTCGTCCCGTCCACAGCGCAGTCAGCGACAACAACCCCACCACCGCCACTGACGTCGACACCGCCGCCCCGAAGTAAGACCAGTGAATGACGGGCTCGTGGTAACGCTAGCGCTGTAGCTCGCATGGCTGAACACCAACTTTCGACGGCTGCGATTGTGGGCGTCGTCGTCGCTTGCTTGCTTCTCGTTGCCGGCGTCGCCTGGTGGGTCCTGCGCTACTCGCGGCGTCGACGGCGCCCGCTCCCCGCGCCGCTTGACACACCCACGGTGTTTGATTTGGACCAGGGCAAGTACACGCAGGTTGTCTACGACGAAGAGTTTTAAGGGGCAATACAGAATTTCAAACGGACAATACAGAGTATTAAACAGACAATACAGAGTATCAAACAGCCAATACAGAATATCAAACAGACAACACGCGACAACGAGGGCTAGGTCTTGTTTGGGATATAATTAGGATAGGAAATAAAAATGGGCACGACGACAGCATCCGCCATCACGGCAAGAGCGCGAGGTCCGCGCTGGTGCTCGGATCTTTCTGCGCAGTCGCATCGGCCGAGGAAAATTCCTAGTCAGACGCGTCGCTACGGTCTGCAGGTCGAACGACAAACTACCTCGAGGAGTGAATCGAGCGACGTGGCGTCGTACTCGTGCAGCAAGTTCTTCTCAATGTCATCGAGTCGGTTGAAGACACCCTACGCGCAGCCATCACATGAGCCTCGGCCACATACACACACAAGAAGGTCACAGAAGCCATCGGCACATGCTTCAGGTAGTGGTACATGGACTGGGCCATGCGGCCAATATGAGGACATGGACAAGCATCGCTTCGTACCTCGGCGTCGGCGTCGTTGAAGTTGATGTCGCCGTGAAACATGAGGTCGTCGCCGTGGCCCAGGAGCATGTCGGGGCTCATCTCGACGCCGTCCGGCAGACGCATGTCAAAGCTGTGCGACTTTTCCAAGTTGGGAAAGGCGGTCGGCGGCGAGAAGAGGCTGAGTGCGTTCGTCGCCTTGGCCACCTTGGGCGCCTTCACGCCGCGGTCGATCGCCAGGCGCTTGGGCTCGGACGGGCCGAGGAGGAGGTTGGTCGTCGACTCGCGACCTGCTGTCGACGGAATGTCAAAGAGCTTGTCCGAGAGCACAGGCGTCGCAGCCGCAATCGCAGGAAGCGGGGGCACTTCGACAAACTTGCGTTTCTTGCTGCTTGTCTTTGGCAGCTGGAGCTTGTCGGTGGCGGCGCTGATCGCACTGGCGTCCTGCAGCAAGGGCGCATCGTCCATGGCAAGGTACCGGAGCACGTCGAGAAACTCCTTGGGCGCCGCACGGCTGGCGTTGGCCACCAAACTAGACATCCAGAGGTGAGCTATGCGCAAGGAAAGTACAGTGAGCGTACTCGTCGGTGAGAATCGCGCCGTTCTGGTCGGTGGCGAGCTTGGCCATTTGTCCGCCTTTGCCGCGGTAGATCTGGAAGAGGACCCAAAAGATCTTCTTCATCTTCTCTTGCATGATCATCTGCTTTTCCTTGGCGGTCTCGAGCTGCTTCCAGAGCTTGATGTTGTCGCTGCGAACAATGGCATTGTCAATCTCGACGTCGCGGAGCCGCTTCTCCATGAGGTCGCTCTTGGACTTGAGCGACTTCATCTCGCTGAGGATCTCTTCGCTCCACTCGTTGCGCGCCTTGGCGTCGACGACCGCGGCGGCGGCGGTCGGCGCGGCCGACGTGTTGACCTTGCGCTTGATCTGGTGCAAGAGCTGCGGCTTGTCGCGCAAAAACATCTTGTGGCGGAACTCGCGCTTGTTCGAGTCGAGCACGCTCTTGTGGAAGCCATACATGTTGAGCTGGCGCACAAACGAGGGCAGGTTGCGGTGCTTGAAGAAGCGGGGCAGCACCTGCTTGACAAACACGTCCGGGTCGTGGATGATGATCGTGTCGCCCGCGGGATTCCAGCCGCAGATGTGGCTAAAGTCGGAGCGCGAGAAGATCTCAAAGGTCTTGCTGAGGAAGGCCGGCAGCACCGCGTCCTTCTCCGGCTCGGTCGTCGTCGGCGTCGCCGGCAGCTCCGTCGTGGCCATTTCTTTCCAAATCGGCGAATTACCGACGATTTATTTTGTTTGTGGCCACCGATTTTCGAAAAAAAATGACGAGATTTCCGGATACTTTTACGCCTCCACCCCATAACTTTTTATGCATATATTTTATTCGACTTACAAATGTCCTGTACACTGTTTTGTTTTTAAAATAAATACAAGGCTGCCGACAAAAGAATCTCGAAAATTAATAAACGAAAACGAACGTCGTTTTAATCGGATCCTATGTAATCACGCAGTTGCATGTTGACGGGATTGGTGACGCGCAAGGCCATTGGACAAAAGTCGTTGGATTCGAATAAAAACAGCCAATCAAATGGCGCAAAGCGTGGCAGGGCCACGTCACGAGGTGAAAAAGCCGCGTTGTTTTTCACATTGTCAGTTGCTTTTCACACGTTGCACACACGTCGCTGGATTCACGGCTTCAGAAACTTGCCGTCGTCAACGGCAGTCCCATGCACTGTCTGCATACTTCCTCCGACGCGGCACCCCTGGACGAAGGGTGTATGCAGCGATACGAGGTGGCGACGACGGAGCGCCGCAGCAGCGAATGCAGCTGACAGAGTCAGTTCTGGCGCCAGAATTACTGCCCGAGGCGGAAAGGACCTGGCAAGCGACACGGCGCCGACTCCAACGGCGCTTTCACGCGAGATGCAAGTGTATAGAAACGTTGACGCGTTCAGGTGGAAGCGGAGGTGCGAAGAGGACTGAGGTGCGTCCTGTCGCACCACAATACACACCTATTTTTCACGCGAAGAAGTCCATCACGCATTTCACACGCCGCCGGGCTTCGTGCGCACTCCTGCCGACAGCTCGCGCAACCCCGTGATCCAACGCTGCGTGATGACGACGGAATCGAAGCCCTCGACAGTGTACCAGCCTCATATGTCTGCATCGCTCCGAATGACTGCAATTTGTACACGTACTAGTACTAGTACTCCACAAGGAGGATTTGCGGAAATGACGTGGCACGCTGTGGTGACACCGAAACGGTCACCGGACGTACCGTCGAAAACTGGACTGTCGGTATTTTCCAGAGCTTTAGATTGTTGCGACAGGCGCAGACTGTGTGCTCCTAAGATGGACCCTAAACGCTTAGTTCACTCCACGATAAGCCGTTGGCATGAACCGACATCTCCTGTCCTCGATTACTCAACTACAAGTACATACTAGAACGCAAAACACATCTATTTGGCTTTACAACCGTCGACCACTAGTACAGGTCGTGGGAGCACCGAAAGAGCCCGCGAAGGCGCATTGTCCACGTGACCGGTGTCCGATTTGCTGCGTGCAACACATAGCGTCGCATGCCCCAGCGACGCCGCAGTTGCATGACAATGTCGTGGCACGCGTCGACGGTGAAATCGGTGGCCGACTCTGTCCGAGCGTCGCGCACCCAGTCGGTTGTCGCCCATTCGGTCGCGAGCTCGTCGTTCGAGATGTCGAGCGTGCGCAAGATGTCAAAGCGCGTCGCTACATTAAGCGGCGCCAGTGGCTTGCGCTCCCGGCCATCCACAGGTCGAATGTGAAACGAATGATGCGTCCACGCCATGCCAAGCACCGCGCCGTCCGGCTGCGATGGTACGCTGCAGCCGGCGAGCGCTCGAGCAAACAGAAAAGTCGTGGATGTTCCAAAGGTCACGGACTTTTTTGTCTTGCGCGGCCAAGTCCACCGACTCTTGAGAGTACGTTGCTTGAGACTGCTGCGACGTTGAGGCGGTTCGTCGTTGCGAGAAAGAAGCGAGGGGTCGTGGAGGAGGGGTGTCTCTGAGAGTGGCGACGTGCCAAGCCACACAAAAGCAGGCGCCGTGCTTGATTTGACGCTGCGAGATGCCTGCACTTCGTCCACGCCAAAGAAGGGAGTACCATAGGTAGCGATATCCAAGGGCTTGGCCCGTGCAAACGACGGCAGCATCCGGTCGGCGAGGTGGGTGGTGCCAACGTGCGGCATATTCGAAAATGAACTTTGATCAATAGGACCAACTTGCCTCGTGAGTGCGCTCGCTTTTTCCCAACACCCTTTCCATCATTACAAACAAGGTAAAAACTCCATGCAAAATTCACATTGGACACTTTGTCTGACGCAACACGCGCCGTTGTACGTTACCACGCAGGTGTGGCCTGTCCATAAAGATGGCAGTAACAGCATCCCCAATGTATTTGTGCTAACTTCATGCTGCGTCGATCGTCGATCGCCGACCAAAGAACTTGGAATACGCATCCACGCCATACCGGTAGACAGACGAAAGCATTTACGGCAGAGATGCAAGTATATATGTTGGACCTGTACTAGCGGTGGTAGTCGCGCGAGTCGCGAGCGGAGAAGGGACGGCTGCTCGCACTGGGTGGCCGGTGGTCGCGGGCCCGCGCGTCGTAGCTGGACGGACGGCTGTGATCTGCTTTGCGCGGCTGCATCAGTTTCTCTTGCGCTTGCTGCACTTCGTCGCGAAGCGCTTGGATCGCCTTGTCCTTGCGGCCAATCTCGGTCTGCGCGGTGGCAAAGAGCACCGAGATGTTGCGCTCGAGCACCTGGTTGCGCTCGCCCAGCTGCGCGTTGGCATGCTGGAGATTGCCGGCCTCCTTGAGCAGCGCTTCGTACTTGGCCGTGATCTCCTGCAGCTGCGTCTTGAGGTGCACGCTGCTGAGGCCCGTCACCGACGTGTCGAGGTCGCCGTACAGGTCCTCCATTGCCAAAAACTATCGAAGTATCATACGCCGCCTATGATTGGCTGGCACGTCACGTCGCATTTGGATTGGCGCACCGGCGCTTCGATCTTCGCACGAGACAGGCGGATCCGAGATGGAGACGGCGCTGGGCTTGGCGCTGGAGGACGCGCTCCGCGAGTTGCTGCCCGAGGGCCACGAGCCCGAGAAGATTGCGATCGAGCGCATCCTCGACAGCGTCCTCTTCCAGAGCATGCACATCTATGCGACCGAGCTCGAGAAGCTGGAGCGACAGCGCAAGAAGCGGGCGCGCGAAGCGGACGACCAGCCCAAGGCAGCGCAGCCCAAGATGCCTTCGTTGGCGAAGAACATGAAGAGCGACTTTCAAGTCGTTGGCTCCATGCAAGAGTACAAGAGCTACCTCGATACGTGGGAGATCGACGTCAAGGACGCCCAGGTCATGAGCGCCGGCATTGCGCGAAACCAAGCTACGCCAACCTTCAAGTCCGTGCTGCGCATGGTCGAGCGGACGTCGAAGTAGCAGCAGGACACCTCTAGAAGCGGCAACCATGAACGCATGAGCTTTTTACGCGTCGCAGGACGCTTCTTCTGCACGTAGCTGGTACTGCAGTATGCAGCGCGAGCAACGCTTCTTGCTCAAGCAAGGTTGACCGACTTTGCAGCCGGGAAGGGAGTGCTGGACAATGGCGGCTCCTGGAACCTCATCGAGTTTGCAGGGCGGTGCTACCGGCCTCGTGTATTGGGCAGGCTGTCAGCCCAATGTTCCTGCCAGAAACGTTGTACTACTAGTTCAGCGATGGCATTTCTCCTCCCACAAGCGCACCACCATTCGTACTGCGAGCAACCTCAGCACCAACCAAAGCCAACGCCTCAACTGCGCTGCGCTTTGGTGAGCAGACGAGCGCTTCCTGATCATCACCACCATGGGTCAATAAAATAACCCACGATCACCACTCTTGTTCCCAGTGCTGTCGCCGTGACGGCCATCGTCCATTTCGGTGTCTCGCGATCGCCTCTCGGGGCATACCTCTCCTTGTTTGTGCAGCCAGTCCCAAGGCCATACATTTATGGCCTCGGTACTACCCCAGCAAACTGCGTACGTACAGGTATATCCTCGCTATGGTGACGCCGACGGATTCCCCAAACAAACTTAGTACAAAAATACCGATCTGTATCTTGGCTCGCGAATGAAGCGCGCGCCCTTTCCCGCCACAAAGGTTATCCGGATAGCATCCGCATGATCGCCCATCACAGTGCAATTTCGAGTGGAAGATGACGATCTGGATCGAGACAGCGACGACGACGAGCGACGTGGTGATGCCGTTCCCGGCCTTGGCCGTCGCGCCAGAGCCAGAGCCGAAGGCTTCGGACGCATCAGACGAAGACTCGGAGGACGACCCGGACGACGACGAGTACCGCCTCATGCTGCGTCACAAGTGGTCGTGCCAAGCGATTCGGTCCAAGATTCAAAAGTTCCTTGCGACCAAGATCATGACGCAGACCGCGTTCCTCAAAGAAATCTCGGCCAACAGCAACTCGTACCAGCGCTACATGAAGCTCAAGGGCCAGTACGGCGGGAGCGACAACCAGACGTACAATGGGTTGCTCCACTTTTCTACCAGCGCGAAAAGAACGAGAAGGCAAGAGCAGCGGCCAAGGAGGCCGCCAAGCTCGCCAAGAAGGCCGCGCCCAAGCGCAAGAAGACCACCAGCGACGAGACTCAGGACGACGACGACGCGCCGCTCGCCAAGAAGCCCAAGTCGACAACGACCAAGCTCACGGGCGCGGACCGGCTCGCGCAGATCGAGGCGGTCACGCTGCCCGACACCGAATTCGTCTACGACGACTGCGACGACGTGCGCAGCCACTTGCAGCAGTTCTTCCTCGCGAAAGAATGCTCGCAGGTGGCGCTTGCTGCCCACTTTGACCTCTCGGTCGGGTCGATCCGCAAGTTCCTCGCTATGCACGGGAAGCGCGAAGGCAGTGGCAGCATCGTGTACAAGGCCGCGTACTTCTTCTTTGAGAAGCTCCGCATCCTCGAGCAGCGACCCAAGTCGACCAAGCGACAGCGGATGGAGAAGACCATGCCGGGCGGCTTCTCGCTCGTCCGCGACCGCAAGGGCCGCTGGATCGTTTTCAAGGGCATGTAAATGGCTGCTAATATATTGGCACAATTTTTTGCGTAAAACTATGATGTCAACGCGTCTCTATGCGTACGAAAGCGTTTTCGTGAGGCGTTTGGTATCGCAGAAAGCATCGGCTACGAGGGACGTGGCTGCTCTTTGCAGGCAAAGGCAATGGTACCGACACGAGTGGCAGCGACTCGAAAGAGATTGAGAGTCAAAGCACAAAGCGCTCTCAGTTTGTGGCCGGTCAAGGTGCAATAAGATGTATCTTATTGCTTGGCGCTGATCATTGCGGTGGGTCGTGTCTCTATTTGTGGCACATGCCAAATCGATGATCGGAAAGTTGCGTGCCACAAGTGCAAAGCCGTATGTGATAGGGCGAAATGATTTTCAAAACGCAATTTGCTGTTGAAGATCCCACAGTGCAACATCCATGCAGAGATCTTGCGTTTTGTATCGCCAAAATGGACGACGAGGGCGAGAATGATCACGCCTGGAGGTCTTGGTCGTCACTATTCGTGGCGCTACAGCATGGTCGCGCCTCCGCTCGGCGTCTCGCTGCGCTATTTCCAGCACCTCATTACGCAGTGCGGCGGCCGCCACAAACTCCATGGTCTCACCACCGCCCAAGTCTGCTTCGACTACATTGTGCCGCTGACCAAGTCCACGGAGCTCTCGCTCGTCGACCATCTCGCCAACGACGCGTCTACGAGCCACTTTGTGTCTGAAGCCAACTGGTACATCTCGCACGCGTGGAGCTACCAATTCTTGGAGACCGTCGACAGCCTCGAGGCTTTCTTCGCCAACCACAGCTTGGCTCACGAGGCGGTCCTGTGGTTTTGCGTCTTCAACAACAACCAGCACCTCGCGCACTCGTACCCGTTCGAGTACTGGTCGATGACGTTCAAGACGCAGCTCGCAGCCATCGGCAACGTCGTCATGATCATGCACCCGTGGAACGACCCCATTGTGCTGCGGCGAAGCTGGTGCGTCTTTGAGGTCTACGTGGCGGTCACGATGCAAGCGCGCTTTGAGATGGCCATGGCGCCCGGCCAGTTGGAGTATCTTGTCAACGACATGCTGCGACCGACGGCACTCAACGATATGCTGGGCACGATCAAGAGCGAGGCGTCCGAGACGACGGTGCCAAGTGACCGCGACGGTATCTTTGAGCTCATTCGCGCCGAGACGTCGTTCACGGCCGTGGACCGGCTCATTTTTTCAACCATTTCGGACTGGATGATGCGAACACTGTCAGCGCAGATCGCGTCGGGTCTCTCACCACTGGACGAAGCGTGGCGGCTTGCGTGTTTGGCCAACATCCATGCAGCCGAGTTTGCTTGGTCGGACGTCGTCACGACGGCGGCGCGGGCGTGTGACTTGTTTGAGGCCCAAGATGTGGACGCACGCTGCTATGTCGGGGTCAAAGCTCTTTTGGGCCGTGCATACGCCCAAGTCGGCGAGCCTGACGTCTCGTGGCGACCGCTCTTTGCGGAGCTCCTGGCCATCGATGACCTGGACGTCGCCATGGTTTGTGAGGTCCGCAACATCTTTGCCAAAGCGCTGGACACCGCCGCGTTCTACGCCGAGGTACGGAACCTCTGTCTCGAGACATATGAGATGGCACGGACGCACCTCGGCCCAATGCACCCAACAACGATCGAGACCATGTCCAAGCTCGGTGCATCGTGCTTTGAGTTTGCGGACTTTGACGCCTCTGCGGCTTGGTTCACCAAGTGCTTGAACGCGCGGCTGGCGCTGCTCGGTCCGGATCATCACGACACGATGCACTCGCGCAGCTTTCTCGCCTCCATCTACCATGTCCAAGGCAAGTGCTCCGACGCGCTCGCGGCCTATGAAGACATAGTCGCGTCTCTCGAACGCACGCATGGCCCGTCTCACTTTCGAACGATCGAGAGCCTCTTGAACATCGCCGTGGGACACCGCGCGCTCGGCGCTCTCGAGCAAGCCGAAGCCACTCTGCTGCTGATTCGAGCGCGGGCGAGTACGCAGCCATTGTCACCGTGGCACTGCGTCCAGCTGCCGTTCTTACTGGCTGTCGTGTACTGGACCAAACGCAACTACGTGCGCACCAAGTATTTTCTCGAGATGACGTTGACGCGCGCCCTCGCAGACCTCCCGCCCGGCCACGGCGATACGTACGGCGACACAAGCTTGCGAGCGTCCGCGCTGTACCGGTTCCTCTTGGACCCTGTGTTTGCCGCCTACCACCCGAGAAACGACGTTGCGTGGGCTCGTGTGGTCGCCTTCTTCGCCACGAACGAGCGCGAGTCGGAGGTGTGGCAGAACGAAACCTGCAATGCGTGTCGCCAGCGCCTCCAAGGTCGCTGGATTGAGTGCAGACGCTGCATCCGGAGCGGTTATCACTTTTGCACCGATTGCTTTCACGACGCTGCGTACCAAGCGTTCTGCGACCATGCCGCCGCCGACCATATCTCGTACGTGCCACCGCGTCGGTTTTTGCTCGAGCAAGCGATGGTGGCCAGCGACAATACGATGGACGTTGCAGGAGCCGCGTGGTGCGAGTACGATGCGTACTGCACGGCCAACCACGTCCAAGACGCCGAGCGAGCTCCGTATGCTAGCTTTGCGCCTCTGGAGACGCGAGGTTTTCATCCGATGCTCTAGATTCGCTTCCAACAACAAGGTTCCTTTTGTGGCTTCTCGTCTCTTCTGTCTTTGTGACCCACCTCGAACGCCCACTTGCGCGTGACGGGCTTGGACGCTAAGTCATACGACGATGGACGTTTGCGATAATCTCACACGGGCACTGTACTAAATCCGAACTTGGTGTCTTCTCAGACAGTTTGAGGAGATGCATCGTCAACGCCGCACGTCGCTAGCCACTGCTGCAGATCGTGTGCGACGTCGGCGGCGCGGCTCTTTGGGATGTTGTGTTTGCCGGACGGATACGAGAGCACCCGGACGTTGTCGGGCGACCCGACGGCCGCACAGAGCGCGCGCCAGCGTGGAAACAGCAAAAATTGGTCGTCGCTGGCGGCAATGCCGAGGCACGGCAGCTCATACGCGGCAATGGTCGACGCCGCGTCCCGCAGAACCCGCCAGTCGGTCGTCACGAGCCGCATGAGCCCGTGCTTGTAGTCGCTGTCTTGATGCTGGTGGGAAAACCCAATCGCGTGAAAGACCTTGGCTACCACGGCCGTGGGCACCCAGCTGGAAACACACGGCGGCAAAGACACAAACGGCTGCATCACGTGGTACGGCTCGAGCGCCGCCGTCGCAAGGAGCCCGAGACCGCGCACAACGCCCGGCTCGTACTTTCTCAAGTGGCTTGCCGTGATGCGAAGCGCCGCGTGCCCGCCGAGCGAGTGGCCGACGTAAACCCGCGGTGTTGTTGGCCCACAGAGCGCTTCAATGGCTTCGTCCAGCGCTGCATCAACTGCGTGTGCATTGTAGTCGGGTCCTAGACCGACAAGAGGTGAGGTTGTTGTCTGTCGCGAGTGCATCTACCGGCGGCCGCCGCCGATGACTGCCCCGTGCCTGGCATATCAAAGGCGATGATCGGGTACCGCTGTCCGAGCATCGCGCCAATATACTTGAACGTCTGATGCGAGGCGCCAAGGCCATGGAAGAACACGAGCGTCGGCGTCGAGGCAGGTACGTCGCGAGGCGTCGACCGGTGAAAGGAGACAGAGTGTCCATTCATTAGCTGCACGTGCTCCATAAGCGACGGCGCCGAGACCAAGTGGCGCGCGTGGGCAACGAGCGCACGCGAGCGGCGACCGAGGAGCGCCATCATGAATCGAAAAATGGCGGGCGCATGTTGATGCGTCAACCACTCGAAGTTGAAGCTCCCACTGTCCAATCCGAATCCGCATATTTATCTTCGAACTTCGGTCGCGAGCGTGTAGCTGCAAACACAGAGCGCTGCTGCTGCCGAGAGGAGTGGATGGCGGCTGGCTACATTAGGAATTTGCTGTTGCGGTTCTACCTATGAACCGTAATGTTGATCAAGGTCTAGGGTTGTACTAGGGGCGAACTGTAGACTGGACGAGGTGCTTAGTCGACGAGCGTATTTGCTATTGAAAATATCTTTCTACAGACGCGCGAGACGATGGATAGGTCTCGCTATGTCCTTGGAAGCTTGTTGCTGTTGATTGTACTCTCGTGCCGGTCCGAATAGTGCGTAGCATCTTGAAAATGGAGCTGATTGGGAGATCCAAGCGAGTCCAAGCTTCAAGCACACATAACTCCCGCTGTACTCCTCCAACGACGACGGGACTTGGCTTTTTTCAGGCTACAAAGTGTCTTCTATCCATGTGCCAAATTAGAGCGATTCCATTTTCAATCGTAGTTTGGCCTCAAATTTCGCGGTGGCGCCGGCGGAGGCCGTGGCGCGAATCCATTATCCGTACAGGTAGTTTTATCCGGATTTTTAAAGGGGAGGGCCAACGCCGGCTGAGACCCCACCAGCAGCCGAGCCACATCTCTCGGTAACGACCTAATGGTACCTTTGTCGACTGCTTGTATCTTTGCAACGAGCCGTACGCGTGAAATGACATATCGTAGGACAGCCGCGCATGCGAAGTACCGGATCGAAGCCCAAGGCCGGCGTGTGCAAGCGGCGCTAGCTTGGCTGTTTGTCGTGCGCCACAACGTCTTCTTTACCAATATACCCCTAGACCCCAAAACTATCTTGCCACCTGTCGTTAAGTAAGACGAGCTGTTGCGCGGCGTTGGC